ACCCCCACCACCACACTGCAGCAATCTGTTTCAGCAACAAGGTTTCTAACTGAGAGCTCCCGTCATGTTTCAGGAGGGTCAAATTATTAGTCTGAGCAAAACAAAATGTGGCATCAATGAAGCTGCAGAACAGGAACATCAGCTGGAAGAATATAGTTTTTAATCTAACTTAGATTCAAAAAGAGGCAAATTCAAATATTTCTGGACACAGATTGAATAAAACTCAAACAGCTTTTAAAGAAATCCACAAAATTCTAATTTCCTTCTTTTATTCATCAAAATCAGGTAAGTTTTTTCAGTAAATTTCATTTTTTCATGGGGTGGGGGGGGGGACATAGAGAGTCGAGGGTCCATTTGATCTCAGGATCTGTATTTAAACACTTTGGGTCAGACGTGTTTATCAAACAGCTCGTATCAGCATGGTCTGCAGTCAGCAGAGACTGGGTGGGCTCCAATCCCCCATTAAGACCCACCCTAAAGCCAGAACCAGAACACAGACTAACTCTTTGATCTGATTCAGTTAAAACAATTATTTATTTATTTTTTATTTTATTCTGTCTTGAGCAATGACTCAATCTTTGTGCCCTTTAATCTGCATTTAACAGAAAGTCTAATTTCATCTGAAAAAAACATCTGACATGAAGAGGAAATCTAAATCAGAGCAGTTTGAAACTGCACCAACAGCGGCACCAAGTGTTCCACAGCTGAAACTGCACCTCAAATAACATTTTCAGGTATTTTAGTTGTGTGAGGAAAACTGTGATTTAGTTTGTGACACATTCAGCTCTGCAGTTAGATTAAAAAATATTTAATTAAAAAGAAAAAATCTGAATGAGAAAAGTAAAATCTGTATGACAAGCTTTGGGATAAACTTTTAAAAAGCACCATCAAGAGCAGCTGATAGAGAGGCAACCTGCAGCGTAATGTACCTCACAGAGACAGGTGGGAGCAAACAGGACAGCTGGACATCAGAGGAGCTCGAACCCTCCAGGTGTCGGTGCTGAAACCATATAAGAAGTACTTTAAACAACTGACAGGAAAAACAACCAAAAACTGAGAAATTTCATTAATTAATGGGACAAAAGTTCATTCCTGCTCTGCTATAAAAGACAATTTTACAGCACATATAATCTAAAATTATTTGACCGAGGCAGATCTAGGATTTTTCTGAGTAAGGGGACATCAAGGGGCCACAATATTTGTATAAGGGACAAGACGTGTACATTTAACTTTAATTTCAAACACTTTAAAAAAGCTTGCACAGTAAATTCTCTTTATCAATTTTACATTCATTTTTGCTGTTCATAGATAAAATACTGTCAAACAGCACGTGAGAAAATCCATCCATCATTTGTCAGTAAAGTTTTTTTCTTCAGGATTGTTTAAAGTAGACTTTGACTCATCACCGCCTCTAGTGTTCAAACACGGAACTGCACCCTTCATCATCACACTCAGGCAAAGGCCAGTTGAGTGACAGGACAGGGGCTCTTGGCCCTAACCCTGCCTTTTGACCCAAGGGCAGCAGCAGGGTAAATTCAACATGTGCTGCAGACATATTTAACTCCAATTTTTAAATAAAATCTACCTAAAAGAGACATTTCTTGTGTAAAACCAGAAGGTTTCTGTTAAAACCCTCCTGCTGACCTCGGGTCGTAGGATTAAACCAACTTCATAACAAAAGCAAGTTAATAAAACACATTTTAAGTTTGATATTTTACTCTGTTTAGATTTGTTTCCCAGGTTTTCCTACCTTGTTTGTCCGCCTGTCGCCTCAAACTTTTTTTTGTTTCTGTCAGACACACGGAGACACCTTCCCGGTCGGAGCGCCGGTGTTTCTGGGCTGTTCTTCGACACGTCGTCCTCTCTGAGCTGCAGTTTGACAGGAAGAAACAGGAGGGCTGACGTTCCACAGCAGCTGCTCACCAAGCTATTTCTGGCTCTACTCTGAAGCATGGCAGACTTTAGACATGAAGAAACTCTTAAAAAAAACAGATCACGAGTTGCAGCTCAGAAGAAACAAGTCAGAAGTTGAATAAAATACATAATTTACACACAACCTGTTTGTTTAAAACTCTTTATTGAAAACAATCCATTATTGCATGAGCACATCTGCTCCAGTAGTTTCAGTTGAGTGTTAACCTGCAGGTAAACGTCCTCGGCACTAATTAGTGGTTTCAATCATCCTGAGTAGTGGAAATCAACATTAACTCTTTGTACCGCGCTGCAATCCTCTGATCACTCCGCAAACAACAAGGAGTTTAAAAACAAAAAAAGCTCCAATATCTCAAGTTTGCTTTTAAAATCTCACCCTCAGAATAAAGCACAGCACGCTCATTATCAATTCACTTAGCGTTGAAACGAGACCCGAAGAAAAGGGGATCCTGGGTGAAAGAGTCAATATTTTAACACTATTCTTAAAATAAAATAAAAGGAGCTGCTGCTACAAACTAAACGGACCCGCCTCTCTGATTTTCAGATTTTCCCTAAACTTATGTTGATTTTTAAACAATAAAAGACATTTCATAGTTTTGTCCCTGAGCTGAACGTAAACCTCCCACTGAAGCAGGAACTTTAAATGTCTGTTTGATGATCAGTTTATGAGCAGGAAACAGAAGAATCCAGTTCAGTTACAGGAACCACAGAACAGAAAGGTTCTGATTACACGATTGGTTCCGCTCGTGTCCACAAACAGCAAAGCTAAAGTTAGCAGAAGTCTTTCAGCTCTGAATCCGGGGTGAGAGGAGAGCTGTAGTCTGAATACCAGTCCCTGTCGAAGACGGCCTTCAGCTGGGATTGGACCGTCGGCCTCTGGGACCCAGACTCCGTCTGGTTCACCACCAGCGCCGAACCGGCCGTGTTCACAAAGTAATCCCCCGACCAGTTAGACGTCCCTGAAGACAGGAAGACAGAACGTACTGACGTTTATCAGCTGAGAGACTGAAACAGCAAATACCAGGTTTATGATCAGCTTTGTAATAAATCATAGGAAAATAAATTAATGTTTAAACTGTAGCAGAAGATAAAGCTGCAGTCAGAGGCTCATAATAATCTTAACAAGACAGACAGAAACACAGAGGAAACCGGACAAGTGTGAGTGTTGATAACTGCTGAAAGTTTAACATTTTAAATGCAATAGAATAAATAAAATATCAAAAGGCTAGCTAAAACTATCATAAGACTAAATAAATAAAATCTAATTATTTGACCCAAGTAGCAAAAGGCTAGCTAGAAGCTAAAAGTATTTAAAAGCTATCTAGAATCTTAAAGCATCATAAGGCTAATGAAGTAAAATGTAGCCAATAGTAGCAAAAGGACAACTAAAAGCATCAATAGACCAGTAAGAAGCTAAAAGTATTTAAAAGCTATCTAGAAGCTGAAAGAATCTAAGTGAAAATTAGACCAAAGTGGCAAAAGGATAGCAAAAAGTATTGAAAGGCCAGCTGAAAGCTAATAGTACCAAAAGCTATCTAGAAGCTGAAAGCATCACAAGACTAGATGAAAAGTAAACCAAAGTTGCAAAAGGCTAGCTAAAAATAAAAAAGGCAAAAAACTGAAAAATAAATAAATAAATAAATAAAATAAAATAATAATAATGAATTAAAAATGCTTGCTAAAAAGCAAAGAGTTCCATAAGGTTAACTAACAACTAGAATGAGCTCAAAGTAGCAAAAGGTTAGCTAGAAACATGAAAAAGTAACTAAAAGCTAAAATATAACCCAAAGTAGCAAAAGACGAGCAAAACACATCATAAGACTAACTAAAAGCTAAAAGTTAGGCCAAAGTATCAAGGATAGCTAAAAGTATCAAAAGGCTAGCTTCAACCTAAAATGCAGCACAAGGCTAATGAAACAAAAGAAGCTCAAAAGGAATGAAAATCTAGTAAAAAGTATCCATAGGCCAGCTAGAAGCTAATAGTAGCAAAATGCTGTTAAAGGCTAAACGTGTCAATAGCACCTAAAAGCTAGAAGTAGCATAAAGAAGATTAAATAACTGAAAGAAGAAGAAGAATTCTGAAGGAACTGAAGATCTCAAAGCATTTCTAAAGAGAAAATTTTTGCAAACTAAATTAAATATTTTAAAAAGCTCAAAAGTTACAATAACAAAACAAGTATTTTCTTTTCTGGTTTTGAAGAGAATATTCTGAAATATATTTGTAGTTTGTCAAACGCTCCGTACTAAACTCAGAGGGTTTGAAAGAAAAGTCCTTCAGCAGTTAGAAATAAAGAATAAATTAGAAAACTGAGACAAACCTCAGGAAGTGTGAGTCTTACCGATGTACGCCACCTTGTCCGTCACCATGTACTTGTTGTGGTTCACTCTGGCAAAGGGGATCTTCTTCTGCCTCGGGTTGGAGGGCACCACAAACAGCCTCTGGAGAATCAAACAGCAGGACTTTGGTTCTGAGGGAAAACTTTCAGTAAAAACCAGACGTGACGACAGCAGAGGAGCCACTCACCACCTGGATGTCCAGCTGGTGTTTGGGTTCATAAACCGAAGCCAGAGACTTCAGGAAGGGGAACATGACGGGCTGAGTGTTGTTCCAGCAGCTGATCAGCAGGCGCACGGCCACTCGCTGCTCGTACGCCTTCCGTCTGAGCTGGGTGTCGATCTCTGCCCAGTACCTGCTCACAGACAGGAAACCATCTCAGAACAGGCAGCCAATCAGAGTGCAACCTCCACTCTCCTGCAGTTCTTCACCTTTTAGGATGCGAGAACTCCATGGTGGGCAGGTAGTTCATGACAGCGATGTAGATGAACCGCTCGGCGTCGTCGATCACGCTGAGGACGGACTGGAGGTCTGGAGTTCTGCCGGCTGCGCAGAAGGATGGAGGGGAGCTCTGAGGAGAGACAGGCGGTGATTTCTACACAGTTACAAACACTGCAGAGAGAAATGATTTTAAACGCACTGATAGATAAACGCTGGAGGGCGTGTGGTTGAGCGGCAGCTGGAGGGGCGTGTCTTTGTTGTACAGGGTGGAGAAGCTGGACGGCCACGGTGACGGGATCGACTGATTGGCCCCCACGAACCAATAAGCTTCAAAGATCTTCTCCAGGTCTGCAGCCAGGCAGCTGCAGTTGTAGACGACGGCGCCGAGCTCCTTCACCTGCAGACCCACAACAGGATTCAATTATCTCTGTCCTGATGCTGCGATAATCCATGAAACTAAATCTAAAAAATGTTTAATCAAAATATTTCTGTCCTGATGCATCGCGATAATAATTTAAACCAATTTAAACCTTTGAAGTTTTGCTCATGTAATTGTTAGAAGCAGTTTTGCTAATTTTAGCTTATAGCTGCTGTTTTGTTTCATTTAGCTAACATTGTGGTAGTTATAGCTTTAAGCTACAGTATGCTAGTTTTTTTCAACAGTTAGCTTTTATCTATTTTTCTGCTTATTTAAGCTTGTTGCTACTCTTGACATTAACTGTTAGCTATGACTTTACTAACATTAGCTTTTAGTTATTTTTATTAACATTAGCTTTACTAATATTAGCTTTCAATTATTTTTATTAACATTAGCTTTTAGCTATGATTTTTTTAGTGCTTAGCTATGGCTTTACTAATATTAGCTTTCAGTTATTGTTTTACTAACATTAGCTTATAGCTATGGTTTTATTAGCGCTTAGCTATGACTTTATGAATATTAGCTTTCAGTTATTTTAATATTAGCTTACAGCTATGGCTTTATTAATAATAGGTTTTAGCTATGGCTTTACGAATATTAGCTTTTAGTTATCATTTTACTAATATTAGCTCATACCTATGGATATGAACTTTTAGCTATGTTATTTGTATTAACTCTTAGCTATGGCTCTGTTAGAATTAGCTTTTAATTACCGTTTACCAACATTAGCTTTTAGCTATGGTTTTACTTATATATGAAATTTAAGTAACTGTCTTTGTTTACCTGTGTGTGTTTTGTGTACCTGTGTGTGTGTGTACCTGTGTGAGGGACCTCCAGTCCATGTTGGCGCTGCCGATGTAAATGTGTTTCTTGTCTACGACCCAGAACTTGGTGTGAAGAACCCCTGAGGTGAGCTCTCTCATGTTTACGGTCCTGATGTCGGCTCCTGAATCACACAAATATTTTACTGACAGAAAAACAAACTGGAGGTTCTGACAGCTGATCATCTGTTGATACTGAGATATTTAATTTAATGAAGCAGATTCTTATTTTGTAAATATAAAATACTGAATCAGCTAATCACAAAAAACAGGAAGTTACTTTTTAAAATATAAAATATCAATAAAAGTTCTAATATGACTCAAATAAAATTAATAAATAAATTTACATTAGTATCAAGTAAATCTGTAAACCTGCTGGAAACGTAGAATAAAAATCAGACACCTGAGTCGCTGAGCAGTCTGAGGTCGTCTTGGGATTGACCCTGCGGTGCGTTCACTGCAATACGAACTTTTAACTTCCCTGATAATTCAGCCAGTCTGCTCAGAACTTCCTCACCCTGCATAAACAGAAACATCTGTCAGGCTGCGTGATGAAGTTTGACAGGAACATTAGGTTAAAGATATTATCAGGATGTTCTCAGTGTTGGGACAATAAATAAGATTAAATATAAGGATGAGCCAGGACAGGCAGCTGAGCTCAGATTTGACCAGGCTGTGGCTAATTCCTGGACTGTAGCTGAAATGTTATCCAGTGTCAAGTGGAATGAAGTCGACAGTTTTGCCTGAATAAAATCTTTAAAGATACAGTAAATATGACGTTTTACCAAGTTACTCTACATTTGTGTTTATCTGGTGTGAGAACATTTAAATGTTATTAGTAAGAGAAGGGCAGGAAATCAAAAGATCTTGTATCTTTTACCTGCTCTTTTTCAAACCAATAATTTAAAAAGGACCTGCCTAGAATGGATTATTAGTTCAAGAAAAATTTGATGGTTTCTTTTAATCTTACTTTTTTATTTTGTTTTGTCGCGTAAAGATTATTATTGATAAATTTATTTGATGGAGGAAAGGCACAGATTTAAGATTTTTTTCTTCTTTCTGCTGCCTTTCAT